TTTAAGCAGTGTCAAGACTTGGAGTGACAGGAAGCAGTGACCCCACAGTGGCGAGCCAGTCAGCCCCCAGGGAGGGCCGCGTGTTCTGGGTGAGCGCTATAATGAAGAAAGTCAGCCAGAGGCCTTCTAGAACAATGGTTTATCTTTTTCCTCCAGAATAATGTATGTAAGCATATACAAATTTTGCATGCATTTAATTTATGGCATAGTAAATTGATTGCTTTTACAGACCATAAAAATATCTCTCCAAATTAATCTTATTATTTTAATGCAAAGATTACAAATAACTTCCTAAAATGTATTGGTGAATTCAAATTTGGCAAATAAAATAAGGAGATTAGTTTAATTATGCTCAAAATAAACTTGAGTGAGAGGGTTGCTTTTGAATAGGAGTCCGCATTTTGAAAAGCAAACTGACAGCTGCTCTAAGGAACTAGACACTTTCCCCCGACACCGTTGAGTCCACTTCACATTCTTCCCTTTGGCATCTGGCCATCGAGGTCGCCAGGAGCAAGATTTGTCGGCATCGTTCTGTGTCAGGTAGAGCAGAATTATGAGTCCACACTTCAGTTTGAACAGGAATAACCTTCGTAGGTGTCTGTCACTTCCCTGCAGCTTGTGCAGGTCCTTCTCCAGCTTCGGGGAAATGTGCGCAGTTGTCCCGTCCCAGTTCTCCCTTCCGAGTGGCTGCAGGGCTGCGAGAGCACAGGGTTTCCAGCAGCATCCAGGTGACATCTGCAGGGCTGAGCGCGGAAAGATTTGCCTCGTCCAAACAGGCACAGAGGTCTGTCAAGCTAAGTCGGGAATTAGTCCTGCTGCTCATTTATTTGTAGAATTTACTTTACCTCAGTCTCAAGATAAATAGCACTTCTACCTCGAGTTCAGTCAAGTTCTTCAAGGGCAGTCCTCCAGAAAACCAGTGAATTCCATCCCCTCTTTTGCTCACATTTCCGGACTGAGTATCTCATAAGGCCCTGGCTCTGGTGACATTTCATAAAATGCACAAGCCTTCTGTGAAGATTGCTAATGGGAGTATCGGAAGCCACTGCATGTTTTTATTTATTTATTTATTTATTTATTTATTTATTTATTTATTTATTTATTATAATAAATTTTATTTAGTTACTTTTCTTTTTTTTAATATTAAATTTTATTTAGTTACTTTTCAAGTACATTTTTTTTAATCTATTTCTCCCATCCCACCCCAACCCCCCACCCAGTCTCCCTCCCGCATTCCCCCCCCCAGTCCTCATCTCTGCATCCCTCATACTTGTTCCTCAAAATCCCTCCCCCTTTTTCCCCTTAAGTTCCCTTCCCTCTCCCCACTGCATGTTGATACAGAGATTAGAGTCATGTTAAAGTATGATGCTTAGTCTCTTTACCTAAGCAGCAAATGCACACATGTAGCCTAAATTCCATTTTAGGGTCAGGAAGTACTGGTTTTGATCTTTTTTGGCCAAAAGAGTTTTCACCATTGCTAGCCTTTGCAGCTCCCAAAGGATGCCTTCAGAACAGAATGTTTCAACGACATCAGCACACACATAACAAAAGATGCTTTCAAAACAGGAATTCTTCAACATCAGCGCGCACATAACAAAGGAAAGCCAGGCCTTGGCTGCACTAGAAGGCAGTCCATCCATTCACCCAGTTGCAACAAAAAGGAAATAATATTGCCATCAATTCCAGTGTCAGTGGCCCCTCTTAAAATATTGGAAAACATGTAGGTGAGCGTGTGGCGTAGGCCCCATTCAACAGGAGGTCTACTTCCTTTTGCCCTCTGTGCTAATCTGCAAATCAGCTGAACCAGGCCAGGGAGCGCAGCTCCTTCAGGGTCTGTCCAGAGGGAAAGCGTTTTCTTCCTGCTTTGCAGAGTGGTAAACAGCCTCCTGCTTCAGAAACAGGCTGTCTGGAGGCAGCTCTGTTTTCGTTAGGCAGCCTACTCATAATTAAGGTCCTGTTTGTCTCAAGTTATTTGTTGTTGGGAACATTGTAAGGCACTCCTTGAATTTTCTTGACATAGCTTCTATTGGCACTTGCCACATGTAGCTTTAGTTAATTATGGCAATTATAAAAGTATAAACAAAAGGTTTCTGAGTGTCATCCTGGTTTTTCCCTGCAATTTTCCCGGTGGATGGAAATAACCACACTGGCAGGAGATGTCCTCTTTAGCTCATATCATTGGAAAAGTAACGAATACCATCACACGGCGAGGAGGACGGCAGTTTATTATTTGACCAAACACTGTGTAATGTGCGGTAAGGATGATTTATTAGATGACCACGTGCAGTAGCTTTCTATGTTACCTCATTTATTTGGAGTTAAATACAACCTTTTTGAAAGTAATAGGAAAGAAATCAAAGAAAAATACTTACAAATTCACAGAGCCCATCAGTGGAACCTCTTGGTGATGAGGATTGATTCAAGGAATAAGGACATTCTGTGTAGATGAAATGACATAATCATGCTTTAAAATGTTTAAAACATTATATAGAAGCTAATATTCTTTTTTTGTAAGTCTGGAGGGTATAGAAGGAACAACAGATGAGTATTATAAAAAGGCCTTTTTCCCCTCGGTACAGGGAACATTTTCTAATATTTGAGTCCCCCATCAATAAAATGGGCTACTTTACAAAACTTTCTCCTCTTGGAAGTGGTAGCGCTGAGCCCATTGCACCCTGATGACGCCCAGCCTGGGTGGTGACTTCCGTTTGGCTCCTTATTCATTTGCCTCTGACTCATCCACTGCAGGAGGCAGTGGGAGCCCAGCTGGAGTGTGGGGCCCCAGTCGGGCTGAATGGACACGTGTGACCTTGGGCAAGCGACCTGCCTCTGCTCTACTTCAGTTTCCTTGTTGTGAAAGGGAGGCCACAGGAGTGCAATGAGTCGGTATAGCTCTGAAGTGCTGGGCAAGTGCTGGGTGTTGCGTGCCAGCACCTACTGGCGCCGTGGTCAACACCTGAGCCGAAGGGCGGACATGAATGCTGGGAAGAAGCTGAGCACCATCTTCCAGTGATGCTGGAGAAGGACGTTTTCCATTGGAGAGGGCAGATTGACGACAGGATTTCTGAGGGCCACCGCACTCTGGAGACTGGAATTAGGCTGGGCGTGTGTATAGGGAACACGGAAGCCCCCTACTTGTTGAGGACTTGACTTTCTCCTCAGTTTGTAAGCAGCTGCTTTGTGGAAGCTGAACACTTCATTGGAATGTTTTTTAACCTTCATTTGAATGTTTCTGAATAGATGAAGTTTTACATTTTTTATACTTCCAAGTTAAGTTGCTAGGATTGCATTTCGTTTTTTGGTTCACTTCTGCCTTACTAAAATCTCAATCTCTAATTATTTTATTTACAGTAAGATAAGACATACACATTTTGTGAACTTTTTCTGTATTCCAGAATGTGTTCATGGTGCTGCTTTTACTAAAATCCAGTGTATCTGATGTCTAGTATTCGTGAAGGATCATTTGTTTATTCACTGTGGTGACCGTGGCCTGCGTGTCACCCTGTTGCATTTGAATCAGTTCTGCCACTTCTTACCCAAGTTCTTGGGCCAGTTCCTTCTGAACCCACTTCCTCATCTGTAAAGTGGAATGACTGAATGGCCAGCACTGGCTGCTCTGAGAATTAAGTGAATCCACGTGTGGAGTACGTTCAGCACAGAGCCTGCGTAGACAAGTCCGCAGTAATGCTGGTTTTCCTCCTCCTCGGAAGTAGTCCAGTCACTCACCCAGCCACTGTGTGTCTCGTGTCTGTGCTAATCACTTCCCCAAGCCCAGGACTGCAGAACACACAGGGCACCAGAGCCCCTCCTCTAAAGTCTTTCATTCTAGTGATGGATCAGACGGAAAATACGGGCCGAATACTGGAGAGGTGTGGGCTGAGTGTGGAAGTACTGGTCTGGGTCAGAACTCTGACTCCAGAGTGGTCTGATTACAGGGTTAACTTCAAACAGGGGCTGGGCTTAACCATCCCAGGAGGTGTTTGCATTTTTTAAAAAGGAAAAGAACTTACACCTAGTGGGATGAAATGGGGACCTCCCTGTTCCTGCTCTCCCTCCTCCCGCCTCTTCCTGCCCTCTCCCCCCTTCTGTAAACAAATGCAGATGCCTGCTCTGCCCCAGAGGCACAGTGCTCACAGGGCCCTAGCTCTGCACAGAGGGTTTGCCCAGCAGGCCCCTGTTTAGGGAAAAGGTGGCAAGGTTGACCTAGTAAGCTGGGAATTACTGCCCAGAGATATAAAGGGGTTTCTGTCAGGATTGTAAATTTGAGTATCTCTCTTTTTTTAAAAATATTTTATTTATTTGTTTTTCGAGAGAGGGGAAGGCAAGGAGAAAGAGTGGGAGAGAAATATCAGTGTATGGTTGCCTCTCATGCGTCCCCTGCTGGAAACTGGCCTGCAACCCAGGCATGTGCCCTGACTGGGAATCGAACCGCGTACTCTGGTTTGCAGGCCTGCGCTCAATCCACTGAGCTACGCCAGCCAGGCCTAGTATCTCTTTTTTTTTTTTATGTTAGCTTAGATTGCTTTAGACTTTTAAAATAAATTTAGAGGGGTACTTGAGGTACTTATGCTTTATAAGTGTGTATGAGATTAAGAACTGTTTTTATTCCTTTACATCAATAGTAAACCCTAGAGGTTTTATCTGATGTCCAAAATGTCACAGCTGTTCCAGAATTGGAGTGTGGTGAATCGACCATAACAGCTAGTTTCCTACAGCTAAAAATATTGAAAGAATAACAGTAAGAGTGAAAGCATAACTTTGTCAGCAATGGTTAGGTATGTAAATACTGAGGGTTAGACTCGGAAACATGTTTGGAATAAAAATTGAAGAAATCTGTCAGAGAACTGTTTGAAACGGTACCAAGGACATTTTTTCATTCAAAAAGTGTTTGTGTGTGTGTGTGTGTGTGTGTGTGTGCGCGCGCGCGCGTTGTAATGTGCAACTTCCAATAAATTACCTTTCTGCTTATGTAGCAATTTAATTCTTTTTCTCTTTTTCAGCTTATGGCAAAGTATTTCTAGTCCGTAAAATTAGTGGCCACGATACCGGGAAGTTGTACGCCATGAAAGTATTGAAAAAGGCAACGATAGTGCAAAAGGCCAAAACCACGGAGCACACCAGGACGGAACGGCAGGTCCTGGAGCACATCCGGCAGTCGCCGTTTTTGGTGACGCTGCACTACGCCTTTCAGACAGAAACCAAGCTGCATCTCATCTTAGGTAAGTGCCAGCTGTCACCAGACTTTACAGAAACGCTTGGGGCGGGGAGGGTGAGTGGTAGTGCAGTCAAGGGTAACAGATTTTGAATTTAGAAGAAATGAATGTTCTAAGTTTCATGTTTCTCTTTGTGGCGGTATTCCCTAAACATCATGAATTACTCTGGATTTGGGACCATCCAGCCTGGAGAAATTTGTACTTGTATTTCACACTCTGTTATTAATCTTAAGAAACACTTGGGTCATCTGCTTCCATTCAGATGTAAGGAGCTGAATAGTGAAATGAGCCACAGTGTCTCCTTTTGGAGTTCTCCAGAATGTACTGGTTTGGACTGACAAAGGGACATTATGGAAATCTTCGATTGTCAAAAAGAAAAAAAGACTTCTTAGAGGTGTTTTGCCTTTTGGGCAAAAAACCCATGTACAATGGAGCTACTCAGTCACCCCTTCGATCGCTCCCATTTCTGCCCACAGACACTTTCTGAACCCTGTCCTTTCCCAGCTGGGCTTGGACTGCTGTCTAGGGACCTAGGAAATGTCCTCTGCACACACTGCTAGACTGCGTTGCAGAAAAGTTGCACCCTTTTCTGTTCCTACCAGAAATGGCAACATTTCCAGTATTGCCCTCTGCCGTCCTTGAATGTTTCATCTGTTTCAACTTTAGTCCCATTCTTGTGGTGACTTGCATTTATGTTTTCTGATCCTCTGTTTTCAAACTACCTGACAATTAGGTGTGATGGAACGCAGGCATTAGCTATTCCTGAGCACCTGCAGTGTGCCAGCGCCCCACTGGGTGCTATCCACAGTTCCACAGACGCTGCCAGATCTGCTCATTAGTGCTGTCAAAGGTTCTGGAAGCTGCAATTCTTGACGTTACATACATTGTGTGCACTTGAGAAGGAAGGTTGGAACTCAGGTCAGACTCATATCAAAGTATGACAAACAGTGCTCCCTGTATTCTTTGATTATTGATAGTACAAACCAGTTTTTAAATACATGTTTGGCTGTTTTATTGAATGCTCTCATTTTGGAAATTATACTTTTATTAATAATTCCTAAAGTTGCATTCACTTTCTGAGTCATGAAGTTACACTTACTTACGGTTTCATTTTGCAATGCTTACCAGTACCCAACAGTCCTAAATCCCTTCTACATGTGGGCTGTCGTCTCCTGCCCTGTCCGAGTCCCCACTCATATTGTCTCTGCCAGTCATTCCAGCAAGTGCGAATCGTGTGGCCCTTCACTTTGCATCCTGTGTGCCTCCGCCTGGCTGTGTTATTGACGCATTTCAAAATATGCATTCCTTAGGACTTGTAGGCTGTGGGGACAGAACATTTTGATACAATGATTGCAAACATTTGTAGCAGCAGAATCCTTCCCTTAAGTGAAAATAAAAGCATTAAAATGGAAAGCAAATAGAACTGAGCAGCTCTGCTGGAATCTGAGCTCAAGGGCACCACACCAAGCCCTGCCAGTTTATTTCTACTCCTCGCCCTGCCAGAGTTTCCAAGGAAGCCCTAGGAGGCCCCGAAGGCGGCCGAGAAACGCAGATCTTGTTCTCCCTCTGCAGCAAACCAGCTCATAGAAGTTCATGGCCAGCCTACCAGCCTGCAGCGGGCACAGCCAGGAGCAGCGAGGACCCAGACCCCCGGGCCCCGTGCCACCGCACCGCCGCGCTCCCCCTCTTTCCTGTTCTCTTACCATCACTGCACTTGATCTTTTTTATCGTTTACTGAAAAGTGTGCTTGTTGTAAAGAATGTTTCTAATTTAAAGGTAGATAAGTGAAATATTTTGTATTGATTTTTAAAAAGTAGACCTTTTTAGTTGTTGTCCTCCATTACTTGTGTTTTTTGTCAGGGACCCATCATAAACAAATACACCACAAAGTGAGAAAGCCCATTTCTTGCACCAGCCCAAGTCTAGAATGCGGACCGGACGCAGCGGTGCCACCGTAAACGAGGCAGTGCGTCCGGAAAGCAGGCCCTCCTCTCCGTGGATTTAATGTACTTTATTTTGTATTGACTTTATCAGAGTGACATTGGTTAATAGGTTTAATACAGTTTCTCTTTGTGCATGTTTATAGTTGTTATTTGACCTTAAAGACCAAAATTTTCAGAAATCTAGAGCGGGACTTGACCATACGCTGTTTTTGTGGTTCGGTCTTTTGTTTGCCGTGCTTAGAAGATACAGTAGGTCAGTTTTCCAAACATTGTGCTGTACACCTAGTCTTACTCAGTGTGTGAGGGCTGCCGTGACACATGGTCACAGACGGGTGGTTGGCACAACCTGGATGTAGTTCCTCACGGTCCTGGAGGCTGGAGGCCAGGAGCGAGGTGCCGTGAGGTTGGTTTCCTTTGAGGACACGGGAACAGCTCTGCTGCAGGCCTCTCTCCCCCACTTGCAGATGGCCCCCCTCGGGCCGCCCTTCCCTGCTGGTTTGCAGTGCATGGACACCCCTGGGGTTACTTCTGTTTTCCAAGTCCCCCCCCCCCAATCAGGGCCCACCCCGAGGGCCTCAGTTTTATCACTTAATCACCACTTTAAAGGCCTTGTCTCTAAATGTAGTCATACTTGAAGGTACCAGGGGTTAGGGCTTCGCTGTGTAAGTTTGGAGTGGGGGACACAATTCAGTCCATAACTATCTCTACAGGTTTGTTGATTACCTGACTTAATTCAATTTTTGTGTGCTGTTTGAAGTTAATAGCAAGAATTTGTACAGTGAGCTCTTCAGGGACCCAGCTACCCTTTTTATTGGATGAGTAAGTTAACTCTATAGGAGTTTTAGAAATATGGTATTTTTAAAAACTGTTTTATGTCTATAAAAGCATCTGTGTGCAAATAGAAGATGTAAGAAAATACCAGAGTAAGGAAAGGAAAACCTATCTTAACAACCTAGAGTTTGTTCACCTTGTTACATTTCCCTCGTTATTAATTAGTATGTGTCCATCTAGATCCTTTTGTGTTTGTGTCTGTGTGAGTGCATGTCTTACGAAAATGAGGTGGTCCTGTCCATATAATTGGTAACCAGATTTTTGACTTTTGTCAGTTAATGATGTCTGCCTTTTCCAGTTAACACATTGTCATTTGAAATACTCAATGGTACGAGTTTTTTATTGCTGGATAACAAACCACTCTAGAATGTGGTTGCCTAAACAGAGAGTTATTTTCTCATGATTCTGTGGGTTTGCTGGACAGAGCTCTGCTGGTTTTACCTGGACTCACGCACATGCTGGTCAACTGGAGAGTTGGCTGGGCTGGAAGGGCCGAGATGGCTTCCCTCTGGCATCTGACAGCGGGCGCTGGCGGTCAGCTGGGGCACCTCTCTTCGCCTCCACGTGGCCTCTCCCCCGCCAGTGTAGCAGTCAGCTTCTCCTCAGCACGGCGGTCTCGGGGCAGCTCGTGGGGACAGCCACCAGGGCAGAGGCAGAGGCTGCAGGTCTTCCCGAGGAACTCCGGAACTCCTGCAGCCCAGACTGAATGGGTGGGGAAATAGACTTCATTTCTTTGCACCTTTTTTAAAAACAGATTTTTAAAAATTGAGGTATAATTTACATACATCTTATTAGTTTCAAGTATACAACATGATTCGATATTTGAATGTATTGAAGTGTAGTTAACATCTGTCCTCATACGCAGCTACAGAATCTCATTGTTGGTGTTGTGATGAGAACATGAGGATTTACTCGCTCAGAACTTTCCAGTATGCACTGCAGCCACATCAGCCGCCGTCACTGTATCCATTATGTCCCTGTGATGTAACTGTCGTGTAACTGGAAATGTGCACCTTTTCACCCCCCTCACCTCTGGCAACCACTAGACTGTTCTCTGTACCTCTGAGCTTGTTTTTTTTTTTTTTTTTTAACTTTTTAGATTTCACACATAAGTGAGTCATATGGTATTGTCTTTTCTCTGATGTATTTCACTTAGCATAGTGCCCTGAGGCACATCCATGTTGTCACAGATGGTATAAGACTGCATTCTTTGTCCTACCAAGTATCATTCCCTTGTATAAATATGTACTACATTTTCCTTATCTGTTCATTCTTCAGTGGACACTTGGTGGTTTCTTGGCCGATCCACGATGTGCTATTTGGTGTGTGTGGGTTTTATTCGTCTCTGGATTTTGCTGAAAGTGTGGATCATGGAGGTGTGCAGTCATTCTTGCTGTTTTCTGAGCTATTTTGGAAGAAGGTGTGGAGACTCCATTCCAGGTTGCTATCAGGCTTCTCCTCGGGTCCTTGGCTCACTGGACATTTAACCAGGCTTGTGCCTTTAGGGTAAAATTTGCCTGATAGGCGCAGGCCTCTCAAAATGATAAGATTATTACAGAGTCAGTATTATCTTGACAGATGCTTACCTTTGACTTATGCCAGATAAGGAAGATAGCATTTCTATCTGAACTGAGTGTGTATGATTTTTTCCCTACAGTATGCTTCATTTCGTTGTGATTGCTTTTCCTTCGTTTATATGGGTTCTGCTCTCCTCCAAGTCGGGTCCGCAGCAGGGGACTAGATTTGGCCTTTGGGCAATAATTTATTGACCCCCCTCCTGTAAACCTATCTTATAAGTCACATTTTAAAAAGAATTCTATATTACTAGTATCTTTTTAATTATTAATTTTAATAATTTATGTCTGTTTTATGCTTTATTTTAATTTCTGTCCAACGGCATCATGTGACTTTCATGGGTTTTCTCCTTTATATATTTTTAGCCTTTCCAAATCTTCTAACATAGGAAATAGACCTCCTTTTATAACTTTTCTGTACTCTGCAAGGTTATACAAGAAATATAAAAATGTTTTCATGTCTTGTGTTTTCTTTAAAATTGTATTCATTTTAGCTAACAGTGGGAAGGAATTCCATGTGGGAAAAAGTCTGTAAAAAACAAATTTTTTTTGGTGTTCTCTGATCTCTGTTAGTGGTAATTTTGTCAAAACACCAGCTGATCTATGACTGTTTCAACTGTCAGATTAATCAGGAGAATTTATAAGATACTAAAGAGGC